AGGTGGGGAAGGAATTATTCAATTTGCATTACAGGATGAGACTATAAATAATATAGATTAGGCTAATTAAGTTAATTTATTCATTCAACGTCCAGTCCTACTGTATGCCAGGTATTACAAGAGATGTAGGAATTGAGCAGTGAATAAGACAAAGTCTCTTCGTCTCATGGAATTTATAGTCTAATAGACAATAGGCTAATAAATAATATGATTTCAGATATTGTGAAAGTGCTATGAAGAAAACAGTACAGGAGGATAGAGTGTGCTGGTGGTGGTGGGTTTGGTGGTTCTTTTAGATAGGTTGTCAGGTAAGGCTTCTCTGAGGTAACATTTGAGCATAAAGAGACCTGAGTGATAAGGAGCGAGCTGTGCTAACATGTGGACATCTTCAAGCAGTAGGAATACTAATGCAAAGACTCTAGGGTGAAAATTAGTTTGGGATTTTCAAGGAAGTACAAGAAGGCTAGTGTGCTAGAGTTTGGAAATTGCTGGGGTATTAATTGGTGGTGGTGGTGGGGTAAAGTGGTGGTGGGACATGATATTGGGAAGTTGGTGGGTCTCAGATGGTGTAGAGCCTTGCAGATCAGAAAGGCTATGAATTTTATTCTAAGTGTGATGAGATCCATTGGACAATGAAGAAAAGTCATACAGTCTAATTTATGTTTTGTTTTGTTTTGAAATCCTCACCCGAGAATATTTTTCCATTTATCTTCAGACAGAGTGGGAGGGAGGAAGGGGAGAGGGGGGTAGAGACAGAGAGAGAGAAACATCGATGTGAGAGAGAGACATTGACTGTTTGCCCCCCGCATGACCCTGACCAGGGCTGGGATGAATTGCAACCAAGGTACATGCCCTTGACTGGAATAAAATCTGAGACTCATTGGTTCACGGGTCAACGCTCTAATCACTCAGCCAAACTGGCCAGGGTGATTTTTTTTTTTTTTTTTTTTTTTTTTAGAGAGAGAGAGGAAGGGAGAGGGAGAGAAACATTGATGTGAGAGAAACATCGACTGGTTGCTTCCTGTATGCCCCCTAACTGGGGATCTAACCCACAACACAGGCATGTGCCCTGACCAGGAATTGAACTGGTAACTTTTCGGTGCATGGTCGACACTCAACCAACTGAGCCACACTAGCCAGAGCAGATTCAGGGTATATTTTGAAAGTAGAGTTTGCCGATTGATTGGTTGTGGGAAGATAAGAAAAAGAGGAATCAAAGATGATTCCAAGATTTTTAGGTAGGGCAACTGGTGCCATTTAAACAGAGATGGAAAACTGGAAGGAGCTAGTCTGGGGTTTAAAATGAAGACTTTAGTTGGATATGTTGAGTTTGAGGTGCTCACTAGATATCCAGGAATAGCCGTTGTGTAGGGAGTTGACTGTTCAAGTCTGGAACCCAGAGTCAAAGTCAGGGCTGTGAATATATGTTTGGGATGTCTTCAGTATACAGATGGTGTTTAAATACATGGATCTGGTGAGATCAGCCAGGGAGTAGTGAAGAGGGCCAATGACCGAGTCTTGAGATGCAATTGAAAGCAAGGACAGCCCTGGTTGGTTTAGCTCAGCAGTTGGAGCATCCGCCTGCAGACCGGAGAGCTCTGGGTTCAGTTCCTGCTAGGGGCACGTACCAAAAAAAAAAAGCAAGGACAGAGGAATAGGTTACACTTAGATTTCTTTTGTGTCTGCATCAGCACAGTACTTACTGAACAACATTAATATGGTGCAATATTAAATAATGCCTTTGAGATTATTGTAATGTAACCTCGGCTCTTCCTGTCATGTTAACAGATTCTTCAGGTTTTTGTCACTGTGTTGAAGATTTCTACTTTCTTTCCATTACCTAGGGGAATAAACTCCAAATTTCATAGCTTAGCATATGACACCCATCATGGTCTGGCTGTATCCTACCTTTCTCTCTCCTCTTACCCTTTCTCCTCTTTAACACTGTCATGCCCAGTGTGCTCTGACCAGTAGCTTTTTGTTTGCCTGGAATACTCTTTCTCCCCCTCTTCCTGCTCTTTGCCTCAAACCCCTACTGAGTCTTCAATGTCCAGCTTAAATTTTCTATTTAATTTCCCCAGATAGAAGTTGGTTCCTCACTGTACAGTACTTCCTCAGCTCTGTTTTTTTGTACTTTATAGCAGTACAGAATCAGTTGATATTTTCACTGGCTTTTGTTGTTGTTAATCCTCACCCGAGGATATTTTTTCCATTGATTTTTAGATAGAGTGAAAGGGAGGGAGGGAAGGAGAGAGAGAAAAATCCATGTGAGAGAGACACATCAATTGGTTGCCTCCTGAACGACCCTACTGGTGTTGGGGATGGAACCTGCAACCCAGGTATGAGCCCTTGACCATGCCCTTGACTGGGAATCAAACCACAACCCTTTGGTCCTTGGGCCTATGCTCCAACCCCTGAGCTAAACTGGCCAGGGCTTCACTGGCTTTTTTATTCATTTGTTTCCCTAGTGCTTGGCATGTAGTAGATGCTCAGTCATAATGCTTTGAAAAGTTTAGAAGTTTTGTTTTGGCAAAAAAGAAAAAATAATTAAAACCAGATCATAATTATATGGCCCATTAGCTGACATTTTTAGGATTTATCTTTATGGTGAGTTTTTGGTTTTAATGATATTCGTTGTGATGAAATTTAGCCAGTACAAAGTTTAATGAAGTGATGTCAATTAGGAGTTTTAGTTCAGAGACATTTTAGGAATGTTTTAATCTCTAGGACTAAATAATGCTTATTCTTTGGAGGCAAGCTATTATAATATTCTTGCTCCACTTGCCTACTTTTCCACCCACCTTCTCAGTAGTCAGGAATTCTATTTTAACATTACACGTGTACTTTCAGCTCTTTGCTGGAGAAGAAACCTAGTGTAATAAGTTCAGTAGAATCAGCAGTACTCTCCCCAGGAATGTCCATTAAACTGCTGCATAGAGGGAGGCTTAATTGTGTGAATTATAGGTGTGAAATTTTAGTCTGTGAGCTCAAAGTAGGGTTAGTTATTTTGTCATTCAATCATAAGTATGCATTGAGCACCTACCATATATGGGCATTGTATGAGATGCTGTGGGGGACATACAAAAGAAATAAAAGACATGGTTCCCTGCACACAAATCCCTGACAGTTTAGTTGAGGAACTGAAACATAACACAAAGGAATTTAATCTTAGCAAGCAATGTATTAGTAAGTGGAAAATACTGTGGTATAAATCAAGGATTTTGTATTTCTTAAGCCCATAATTATATTCTCAGTTATATGTAGTCTTATCTCACATCAGTTTTCAACATTTTTTTTTGTTTGTTTTGTTAATTCTCACCTGAGGATATTGTTTCCATTGATTTTTTAAAAAAAAGAGAGTGAAAGGGAGGGAGGGGGACAGAGAGAGAAAGAAAGAGAGAAACATTGATGTGAGACATAATTCGGTGTGGTTGCCTCCTGAATTCAACAGGACCAGGGCGGAATTAAACCTGCAACCCAGGTACTGTGCCCTTGTCCAGGAATCAAACCTGAGACCCTTTGGTGCCAAGGCCGACGATGTAACCCCTGAGCCACACAGACCAGAGCATTCAACATTAAAAAAAATTTTTTTTTCTTTATTTATTTTAGAGAGAAGAAGGGAGAGGGAGAGAAAGACAGAAACATGGATGAGAGAGAACATCAACTGGCCACTTCCTACATACCTGTCACTGGGGATTGGGCCCCCAACCCGGGCATGTACTCTGACCTAGAATCGAACTGGTCACCTCTTGGTGGATGGGTTGCTGCTCAACCACTGAGCCACAGTGGCCGGGTGGAGAAATCAGCATTTTGACTTGACCTGCAAGCTCTGTTATTTCTCCTGTCCTTTGACGTATCTAGTTTCAAGAAGATATGGATTTGGCTTACTGTTTGATGTGATGAAAAGCTATATAGAAAGTGCCCTGCCAGTACATTGCATTCAAACATTTTATTCCTTTACATCAATAAAGCAGATACATAAGGTAGAATGTCATTTATCCCTTATAAGTGTGACAGAGGCCTACTTTCATAGTTTTGTAATGTGTTGGCTTTCCTAGACATATTTTCTCTTACCTAAGGGTAGGGGGTGAAAAGTATAGAACCTGTACTCTTTTGTGTGTGTATGTATGAATATGAGTTTAAAAGTTCAGTTTTTAGTTTTTTTTGATTGGTTTTAGAGAGAGGAAAGGAAGGTGGGAGGGAGGGAGAGAGAGAGAAGCATGGATTTGTTCAGCTTATTTATGCATTCATTGGTTGTTTCTTTCTTTCTTTTTTTTTTTATCCTCACCCGAGGACATTTTTCCATTTTTTGTACAGATAGAGTGGGAGGGAGAGAGAGGAAGAGAGAGAGAGAGAGAAACATCTACATGAAGGGACACATCGAGTGGCTACCACCCGCATGACCAACCAGGGCCGGGGACAAACTGCAACCGAGGTACATGCCCTTAGCGGGAACTGAACCCGGGTCTCTCCGGACCGCAGGCAGATGCTCTAACCGCTGAGCCACACCAGCCAGGGCGGTTGTTTCTTTTTTTGGGGGCAGTTAGTTTTTTGTTTTTTTTTTTATCCTCACCCGAGGACATTTTTTCCATTTTTTGTTCAGGTAGAGTGGGAGGGAGAGAGAGGAACAGAGAGAGAGAGAGAAACATCGATGTGAAAGGAACACATCGAGTGGCTGCCACCCGCACAACCGATTAGGGCCGGGGACAAACTGCAACCGAGGTACGTGCCCTTAGTGGGAACCGAACCCGGGTCTCTCAGGACCGCAGGCTGATGCTCTAACCGCTGAGCCAAACTGGCCAGGGCAGTTTTTTAATGCTTATATTCAATTTAAACCAGAGTGTTTAAATTCACCAAACAAGTTTCATTAGTCTTGGGCATTTTTATATTATTTATATGAATATCAGTTTTATTAACGTACTACTTTCAGCATACAGGTGGATTATTTTCTAGCTACTGTTAATAGTAAGATAGGGTGTTCTGTAGAAGTGCTAAGTTATTCAGTGAGTTATTTGCTGTTGTTCCTTTTCTACCATTTCTTGTTGGTGAGTTGTTTCTTGTACTGCTTGCTGCATTTTCTTTTTTTATCCTCACTCGAGGACATTTTTTTTCCATTTTTTTGTTCAGATAGAGCGGGAGGGAGAGAGAGGAAGAGAGAGAGAGAGAGAAACATCGATGTGAAGGGACACATCGAGTGGCTACCACCCACACGACCAACCAGGGCCGGGGACAAACTGCAACCGAGGTACATGCCCTTAGCGGGAACCTATCCCGAGTCTCTCTGGACCGCAGGCCGACGCTCCAACTGCTGAACCAAACCGGCCAGGGCTGCATTTTCTTTAGTTTTTCCAGAGTCAGAGATTTTAAAGGTAAAAGTTTGGGTTTACGCAGTACCATTGTGGTTATATCTTCCACAGGCAATTGTTTTGAAAGAATGTCTCGGAACATGGACTTCACTTCTGCCATGTCTGAATTGCTGGAAGTTCTTCTGGTTTTTTTCCTCTGCATCTTTAGGCAACTTTAGGCATCCAACCTGGTATCACCAAAATGACTGACAATTTTCGATTCAAGCCTAGAGAAGGAAAGATGCTTCTCTCCCTAAATGGCTCAGCTGTTGCCAGGGCAACTCATTGGTTGACTCTTGTATGTGCCCTGACTCAGGATGGAACAACCTTGGTGTATTGAGACAGTGCTCTGACAAACTGAGCTACCTGTCAGGGCAGTACAGTTGACTCTTGAACAACATGGTGGTTAGGAGTGCTGACCCACAGTCAAAAATCCACATATAACTTTTGACCCCCAAAATTTAACTAATAGCCTATTGTTGACCAAAAGCCTTATTGATAACATAAACAGTTGATTAACACATATTATGTATATGTATTATGTACTGTGTTCTTAAACTAAAGTAGCTACAGAAAATAAAATAATATTAGGAAGATGATAAGAAAGAGAAAAATCCATGAAAAAAATCCATGTATAATTGGACCTGCGCAGTTCAAACCTGTGTTGTTCAAAGGTCAACTGTACTTACTTTTTTATTTGGATTATAGAAGCAGTTTTCTTCTCATTTTAGAAGATATGAAAAACAGATATGCACAAAGAAGGAAATAAAATTTTTTTTATTATGCCAACTACCACTGTTAACTTTATTGATGTACTTCTAGTCTTTCTTCTTTTTTTAAAAAATCTTCATCCGGCCCTGGCCGGTTTGGCTCAGCGGTTAGAGCGTCGGCCTGCGGTCTGGAGAGACCTGGGTTCGGTTCCGCTAAGGGCGCGTACCTCGGTTGCAGTTTGTCCCCGGCCCTGGTTGGTCGTGCGGGTGGCAGCCACTCGATGTGTCCCTTTCACGTCGATGTTTCTCTCTCTCTCTCTTCCTCTCTCTCCCTCCCACTCTATCTGTACAAAACATGGAAAAATGTCCTCGGGTGAGGATAAAAAAAAAAAAAAAAAATCTTCATCCGAGGATACTTTTCCATTTATCTTCAGATGGAGTTGGGGTGGGGGGGCGGGGAGGGAATATCCACATGAGACACATTGATTGGTTGCCTCTGGCACCACCTTGACCAGGGCCAGGGCCCAAATTGCAACCCAGGTACGTGCGCTTGACCAGAATCAAACCCGAAACTCTTTGGTCAGAGGGCTGACACTCTAACAGCTTAGCCAAACCAGCCAGGGCTAGTCTTTTTTTTAGTGGCAAGTTTTGTTTTTTAGCAAATAAAATGAATGGCTCAGATACCTTTAGAAACAAAAAACAATTCCCAATTATTTCAACCTTATTAAAATACATCATAGTTTCTGTATTCTCTCATCACCCTTATTGTCCTCCTTTAGTACTCTTAAAAAATGGTGCCCAAAACAAGATATAATAAAGTCCAGATTTAGTCAAGCTAGCCCAGCATATAGTGGAATTATTTTTTCTCAGTATCTGAATACCACACCTCCATTTTTGACTTGTTTTTTTTTCGTTGTTAATCCTCACCTGATATTTTTTTATTGATTTTTTTTAGAGAGAGTAGGATTTTGAGAGAGAGTAGGAAGGAAAGGGGGAGAGAGAGAGAGGAAGAGGAAAAGTGAGAGGGAGAGAGAAACAGCCATGTGAAAGAGACACTTTGATTGGTTGCCTCCCGCACAACCATGACCAGGGCCGGGATTGAACCTGTAACCCAGGTGCGTGCCCTTGACTGGGAATCAAACTCGAGACCCTTTGGTTCACCAGCCAACTTTCTAACTGCTGAGCCAAACTGGCCAGGGCTGACCTCATCTTTTATTTATTATTTACTGCCCACTCTCAACTCCAGCTCCTTAGACTCCTTGTTTTTCCTTGATCATGCCCTTTCATTACTGATTTCCTCTGTCTGGAACACTGCCTGGCTTGTTTCCTCAATTCTTTCATGTCTTGATTTAAATTTTTTTTTTTTTTCCCTATCCCTTTTCTCTGCTTTATTCTTTTTTTTCTTTAGCACCTATCACTAGGTAATATGTCATATATTTATTTACTTTGCTTGTTTGATGTTTCCCTTACTAAAATTTAAGTACCACAGGTCAGAGAGGTTTGTCTGTCTTATTTACTGCTGCCTTCACATCACTTAGAACAATGCTGATGCACAGAGTAAGTGCTCAGGAAATGTTTCCTGAGTGAATGAGTAAATTTCTACAATATTATGACATGGGCATTGTTATTACCTTTATTCTATAGTTGAAGAAATGAAATCCCAGAGAGGTTAAATAATTTGTATAAGATTACATAGCTCTTAATCCTCTTAATCATCCTGCTGAATGGCTTTATTTCCTGTTGTATCTCACCATGCTTTCTCTGCTCAGTCATAGGACATTATTATTTTTTGTGTGAATATCATATACATATTCAAGTTTTTGTGCCTTCACTCACGTTGTTGCCTCACTGGGAGTATTCTTTTCCTCCCCCTCCTCCCCATTGAGGTAGAACTTGATTTGTACAAGAAATGGTGATTTAGAGAATAGTCAAGGGTATGGAGGTTGTTGGGAAGGTTGGAGGGATGAATATTGTGAGGCAAGGTCACATGGTAGGAAATGCATGTATGTTCAGGAAGCAGGTTTGGCTAGAGTTGAGGATTTGCTTTAGAGGTATGATAGATGGTAAGTTAGAGAGCGAGAGGGTTATATCCCTATTACTGGGAGCTTTGAGCTTCAGACTAAGGAGTTGGTATGTTTATGTTGCCCCTTCAAGGTTTTTGAGCAGAAAAGTGATAATGTATAACACTGCTATGAAAAATATTTATTTTTTATTTTTTTATTTTTATGAATTTTTATTTATTTTTTTTGTTACAGATATTTTATCTTTTTACCCCATTGGCACCCCCCACCCCACCCCACCTCCACCCCGTCCCCGGCTTAGTAGTCCATGTCCATTGGTCATGCATACATGCATATAAGTTCTGTGGTTTATCTCTTCCCACCCCCCCACCCCCCCACCCCCTCTTCTTAGGGATGTCAGTCTGTGCCCTACTTCCATGTTTCTGGGTCTACTGTATTCCTCAGACTGTTATGTTCATTATATTCCGTATATAAGTGAGATCATGTGGTATTTGTCTTTTTCTGCTTGGCTTGTTTCACTTAGGATAATACTTTCCAGGTCCCTCCATGTCGTCTCAAAGGATAAGAGATCTTTCTTTCTTACCGCTGCATAGTACTCCATTGTGTATATGTACCACAGCTTTTTTATCCATTCGTCTACTGGTGGACACTTGGGCTGTTTCCAGATCTTAGCTATTGTAAATAGTGCTGCTATGAACATGGGGGTACATATATTCTTCCTGCTTGGTGTTTCAGGCTTCTTAGGGTATATTCCCAGCAGTGGGATCACTGGGTCAAATGGAAGTTCAATTTTTACTTTTTTGAGGTAGCACCATATTATTTTCCATAGCGGCTGCACCAGTCTGCATTCCCACCAGCAGTGTATTAGAGTCCCCTTTTCTCCACACCCTCGCCAACACTTGTTGTTTGATGATTTGTTGCTGGCGGCCATTCTGACAGGTGTGAGGTGATACCTCATTGCTGTTTTAATTTGCATCTCTCTGATGATTAGTGATGTCGAGCATTTCTTCGTATGTCTTTTGGCCATTTGTATGTCCTGTTTGGAGAGGTATCTATTCAGCTCCTCTGCCCATTTTTTAATTGGGTTCTTTGTCTTCCTTTTGTTGAGTTGTATGAGCACTCTATAGGTATTGGAAATTAACCCCTTATCTGATACATCATTGGCAATGATGTTCTCCCATACAGTGGGTTGCCTTTCTTTTTTTTTATTTTTTATCCTCACCCGAGGACATTTTCCCATTTTTTTGTTCAGGTAGAGTGGGAGGGAGAGAGAGGAACAGAGAGAGAGAGAGAAACATCCATGTGAAAGGAACACATCGAGTGGCTGCCACCCACACAACCGACCAGGGTCGGGGACAAACTGCAACCGAGGTACGCGCCCTTAGCGGGAACCGAACCTGGGTCTCTCAGGACCGCAGGTCGACGCTCTAACCGCTGAGCCAAACTGGCCAGGGCCAGTGGGTTACCTTTCTATGAAAAATATTTTTTTTTTTTTTTTTTTTTTTTACTGTGGTGATAAGAATGACTTGGAGTGGTAAGAAGCTCAATTGAGGAAGAACACTTAGGAGATTTTTATGATATAGTCCTGAAGTGAGGCGATAAGGACTGAAGTTGAGAATTGAGAGTGGAAATTAAAGCACAGATATGAGAAACTTAAAATATGACATAAGCCCTGGCCCGTTTGGCTCAGCGGTTAGAACATTGGCCCACAGACTAGAGGGTCCTGGGTCCGGTTTCCACTAAGGGCACGTACCTTGGTTGCAGTTAGTCCCTGGCCCCTGGTTGGGGTTGTGTGGGTGGCGGCCACTCGATGTGTCTCTCTCACATCGATGTTTCTCTCGCTCTTCCTTCTTCTCTCCCTCCTGCTCTATCTGAAGATAAATGCAAAAAAAAAAAAAAATCCTCGGGTAAGAATAAAAAAAAAATATATATATATGACATAAAATCCAAACTACTTACTATGGCCTACATGATCTGACCTTTACCTACCGGTGCAACTTGATCTCCTGCCACTTTTATTCTATATGCTCTAGCCACACTGGCTGTTCCTTCTCTTTGCCTGGAATGTTCTTCAAGTCTGGTTCCTTTCTGTTATTTAGGTTGCAGTTTAAATCACCTCTAAGGTCTTTCCTGATCACCAGTTTTAAGCAATCTCCCTTATTGCTTCTTCATTATCATAGTATATAATCATTACCTTTTTTTTTTAATCCTCACCAGAGGATATTTTTCTATTTATTTTTAGATAGAGCGGGAGGAAGGGTGGGAGGAAGAGAGAGAGAGAGAGAAAGAGAAACACATTGAGTGGTTGCCTCTCACACGACCCCAACTGGGGCCAGGGATGCAACCAAGGTACATGCCCCTGGCTGAAATCAAACCCAGGACTCTTGGTT